GTATAGGATATCTCGCCACCTTGCTGTGGTCGGGGAAGGGGGATACTTGTGTCTCAGTAACCCCTGCAGCTATACCAGCGGGAGGATACAGACCGTATAGGTCAAAGGTGCAGACTGTACTAAGTGCGACGACTGGTCCTCCAGGTTAGAGACTAGCGACCCTAGCGTAAAAGGCTGCTGTTATTGTATAGGATATCTCGCCACCTTGCTGTGGTCGGGGAAGGGAGAGACTTGTGTCTCAGTGAACCCTGCAGCTATACCAGCGGGAGGATACAGACCGTACAGGTCAAAGGGTGCAGACTATACTAAGTGCGACGACTGTTTCTCCAGGTTGGAGACTAGCGACCCTAGGGTAAAAGGCTGCTGTTACCGAAGCTGAAAGCGCCAGAAACGATACAAACCAGACTAGTGATAATGCTTTTAATTTAAGAATGGGCTTTTGAGTCAGAGCCTGCCTAAAGGCCGAGATTGGGTTTATAGTACCCGGAGGGAGTAGACAAGGTGGGATGCTGCCACCAGCTAGCTCCGCCCTCTTTACGGGTAGTTTTACCGTGGCAATAATCTCCATTCTATATGTTTTCTCTACCTACCTTGACAAGTTGTGTAAGATAATCAAAATGAGTCTTATCGTCAACCGTGAGTTTGCTGTCATCTGTTTGATTTACTTTGTAGTGTTCGACCTCACGGCCATGGCTGTCAAAAAGAATTTTAAAGATCGCATGAATATAATTGGAGTTTTGTAAGATGCGTCCATATACTAAAAAAAATGTTTCCTACAAAATGTTTTTTTTTTTCAAATTTACGGAAGATTACTTTCCATGCTTTGATGTATAATTGTTAGCCTGCATAGCCAACATGTACAATCAAGGATAATTTTCCCGTTCAAGCGAAACACACGCGGAATTGTGTGCTATCAACCGACGGTAAATAGACACCAACGAGGGACCCAATCAGATCCACGAATTTCCTGTAGAACACACTGAATGTCTACTAATGTGGAATACACTTACGATGAAACAAAGCATGCAATCTTAACATTTTATTCAAACTATGGATAATTTACCAAACAGAAATAGTGTAGTCTCCCTGCAAATTATCTCTGACCAGAAACAAGCCCTCTTGATGCGGACTAAGTAGTGCTTCAGCCTGGTCTCTAGTGATCGTCCCATGAAACCATCTGTAAAAAACAAAGGATAAATGTTCTCTTAAGAAATAGAAAACATGTACTGCGTTTTTTTCTAGTTTTAGTATACATCTACTCGCGTTCTATCACGAATGTTGTTCTCTGATTGGCTACGCTACTCACTTTCTATTGTTGTTGATAGTGAGTAGCCTAACTGTGTGCAGTTGTTAACAAAATGACTGCCACTTCTTTACGCTTTCCAGGTGTCTGTGAGGAGGATTAAGATAAAGTTTTGAACGACTAATAGATTTATACTAAAACAATTAGATTATCCGCTCTCGATTTCTATGCGAAAAGGTTGACTCGGGCTGCGTCAACTACTACGCGATAGAAATCACGAGCTCATAATCTAGCTGCTACATAGAAACACGATTTTTAAGCAATCAGCGCACGATGCGCAACTGCGCAAATTTCTGGAGCAGGGGTTTAAAGTTCAAAAAAAAAAAAAGACATGCAAGATTCCTCAGTCCTGAAGATTGATCCCCAGCACTTCAAAGAAATTTATGAAAAGCCTGAACCGAAACAGCTACAAACAGTTCTGAACATGGTGGAAACAAGATGGCCTGAGACAAAATCAAAGGCTACTGGTAAGACAAGATGGTGCAGTGCAGTGCAGTGCAGTGCGGCGCGGCGCGGCGCGGCGCGGCGCGGTGCTGTGCGGTGCGGTGCGGTGCGGTGCGTTGCTTTGCTTTCGTTTGGTTTCGTTTTATTTTATTTTATTTTATTTTACTTTACTTTACAGGAATCCCTAAAACATGCAAGAGTTTAGCCTTTGTGGGTGTGGCTCAAATCCATGAGAAATCCTAGGAAAAACAACAAGTCAATTGCTTGGAATTTGCCAAAAAGATTTTACAATGACTTTGTTCTGGGTTTCTGTCCAAAACTCTCATGGTAGTCATTTTTTATATTTTACACATCCTTATAAAGTGTTCCTAACATCTAAGCGTAAATACATTTTCTTAAATGCTACTAATAACTCACGGAATTGCTTGAAGTTTCAGTGCTCTTCTGTTTTCTTTAACATTCGTTCTGTAGTACACCTTATCATGCAGAGGGGAAAAGAAAGATTTAAACAGAAAATTAGTTATAACTAAAAACTGTAGTTAACTGCTACTTTAAAATACTCAGATTTGATTCAGTTGATAAAAGATCGATTTGTGCTAAGTTGCAGTTGAACCAGGCTGAACTTGATCTTTTTTCATATCATTGGTGTAATTGTGATAGAATGTTGAAGATGAAGAGGTGTGTGTCTCATAACCTAATGGCGTCTTTGCAAATTTGAAAATTACAGTATGTACAACAATTACAATCATATAACTTTCATAATTAACTAACATAGTTATAGTGAAGCCTTGGAGCCAATGGCTCATAGCTGCCAGAGCTTATCCCAGTTTCTGTAGCATGAAGCGGCTAGGAGTATTTCTACTCCCCCTGGACGGGATGCTAGTCCATCGCAGGTCACTCCCCCGCAATTTGTTAAGTTTCCCCAACAATTCGCGGGTACCCATTTATACTCCTGGATGAAGGGAGACACTGTGAGAGTTAAGTGTCTTGCCCAAGAACACGACACAGTGTCCCCAGCCAGGGCTCAAACCTGGAACGCTCGCTCCAGGAATGAGCGCACTAACCATAAGACCACCGCACCTCCCACTAACATAGTTACATGGAACTGTAAATTAATTTCCCCACAGCAGCTTTCGACAGTAAAAATTTGTCTTGTCTTCATGATTAACAACCCTAAGACAGCAGAGTCACTTGCCTGCTGTTGTTGAGTTCTAGCTGCTGGCAATGCCAACTCAAAGTCCTTAATTCAACAACAACTCATTCGTGTGGGGGGGAGGGTGGAGGCAGGGACTCCCATATAAAAAGGATAGGGGTGCTCATCAGAAATTTTAAAAAGAATCCCCAAGAGGTACCAAGATTCTATTAATTTTTGTGGGCATGGCTTGAATTTTTGTACCCCTAAGAGGTACCAATTTTACACAACACATCAACATTTAATAGCATCAAAGAAGATTGCTTCGAATATACCTTATACTTGTAAAGTCAATTATCAAATAGCTCCTGTCATTTTTTTTCCAGCTCATTACACCCTAAAAGGTACCACAAATTCTCCTGCTGTGGAGCTTATGAGGCTCAACACCATACAACGAACCAAAACGGATCTTTTAACCTCTAAAAGGTAGTTCAAGCACCCCCATCCTTATTATACAGGAGTCCCACCTGGGCAACTTATACCCCAGTTTGACAGAGATATCTACATTTTCAAGCATCGAACTGTTAGCAAGGCCCAGTTCACATCCTGAACTTATCATGAACAAAATCTAATACCATGAATAACACACATGTAATGTTCAGCACCTATATAAAGTAAGAACAGCTATTTGAATTTGGAACCCCTTGGCTAGCTGTTCCTTGTCCCCAGCTCAGCTGGGAGTTTCTTCCAGTCTTAAGTGCAAGCAGGAATTCCAGGTTTGGAATGCCTTTATTTGGCACACCTTCAACTCAGCTGCCAAGCTTTTCATGTGGCAGTTAGGCTTATGTGTCAATTATTATTGATAGCATGCATATTTGACACTGTACGAGTTAATTGAATTCTCAGCATCTGAATCAACTTCCAATACTTTAGTTTCTTTGACTCATGAGAAGTCTGTGGAATTAGTGGCTGAACTGGGCCTAATTTCGCACACAGTTGCGGCTAGAACATCAGCTGTTTATGATCTACTTTACCTTGTTAATGTGCTTGTAGGTCTTTATCAAGTCCACACTGAGCTTTCTAAGAGGTGCAAAGCTTGGGTCATGGAACTTTTGAACTCCTATCAAATCACCTTCATCTGTCTGTTGGGCTCCTGCTTTTCCAGCTAATACTTTGTACAAAA